ATAAATAGTAATTACTATACTAAAATACTAATGCATCCTTAAGAAAACTTAAGGACCCAGTAGGAGTGTAGCCATAAGGAAAAGAAGTTCAAGTCTTACAACAAGTAACTGCACATTTGCCAGAGCAGAAGCAGCTAATGTGAATTAACACAAGCAATCTTTTATTGTTTAAATCACTGGAGACTGGGGTGTGTTTGTTATAGAAACTACTTTGATTTATTCTAACCAATTCACCATCTTGTATGGGAGTCAGTGTTAGCACTTCATTACTATAATTAAATACTTGGGATAATTAACTTATAAAACAGAGAGGTTTATTTTAGTTCAAGGTTTTGGATGTCTTGGTACACAATTGATTGACCATATTGCTTTGATCATAAGCCAAGGCAGCAACTCATTGTGAGAGTGCAGGACAGAGGAAAGCCAGGGGGTGAGAGAAAGAGGAAGGATCTGGGACCCCACAACCACCTTCTAGGACACACCTAATGACATAAAGACCTCTCTTAAGGCCTTGCCTCCTAAACACATCACCTCTTTCCAACATTCCACCCTGGGAACCAAGCCTCTAATACGTGAACCTTTGGAAGATGTAGATTAAATAATGCTAAACCTATAGACCAATGGCTCTCAACCTTCCTAATTCTACAGCTATTTAATACAGTTCTTCATGTTGTGGTGACCTCCTAACCATATTATTTCATTTCTACTTCGCAACTAGAGTTTTTCTATTATTATGAATCATAACATAAATATCTGATATATAGGATATCTGATATGACCTCAAGGGGGTCATGACCCACACACAGGTTGAGAACCTTTTGCTATAGGCTTGTCTAAGCATGAATGAGTGTAGTGATATATTATTAATGATTTATTAAAGCTTGCCTGAGGATTCAGAAAAGCAAATTCATCCTCAAGCTATAGAGTTCAGGCAATGGTGACATACACCTTTAATTCCAGCAGCCAGAAGCTAGGAGGTGCTGGTACATGCATTAATCCTAGGACTCAGAATTAAGAAGCAGATAGATCTCTGTAAGTCCATGGTCACCAAGATCTACACAAGAGTGAATTAGTCTAAAAGAGAATTATAGCTCACACAGTTAATCTGAGGACTCATGAGAGGTGTATATGTCAGTATCAGAATTCAGTATGAGGCATTCATTCTCCAGCTACACTAAGGAGAGGCAGCAGTTTGAGACTTTACAAAGAGCTCATGCATGAATCAGCCCTTTCAGCCTGAGCTAGAGGTGAGAACTAGTGGCCAGCTGCCTTGCTTGTCTGATATTCAACTTGAAGTTTGAACCCCAGTATCAGTCTCTGGGTCCTTTTGTTAACTCGTGTTGCACATGAGTATGCTTTTATTCATCTGAAAACTTCTAAAGAACTTCAAGAATAAACTTGGAAACTCATTATCTGGAAGCTGTACCTATGACTGATACATTCTTGGTGTTCCTCAGGTTCATAGTGAGTAAGCCTCCATACTGATTATGATATGGAATCCATTTCAATTAGAAACACACAATCACCTTACTTTTGGAAAAACAGTCAGTAAGTGCCATAGATAATGGTGTGCTCTTTGTGAGACCTGTTGTTCTTTCACACGTACAACTTACATCACTTTAAACTTCTCATTCAACATCTTTGAGTTGAAATTATGTAATCTACAAAGCTATTGTGATGATAATAATGATGAAATCTTTTACCTAAAATAGCCAAGTGGATTAACTGTGGTACATTAAAAATATATATACAAGGCACACATCATATTTTAAGTATTGTTTCATTGTTGTAATACTGTTTTGAGGAAGGAATTTGTCGTTTTGAGTCTTCAAGTTCCTTCTTCTTATATATGCCTGATGGAGAAGTCCTGTGTATATGCCAATAAAGCACTGTTTGCCAATAGGGAAGCAAGATAGGTGGTACTAGGAGTCCAGGAGGACTCTGGGTAGGAGAAACACAAGAAATCATCATGTAGCCCTCCAGAGAAGTAAGATGTCTGTCCGGTAAGAGAAATACTTAGAATAACAATTATGGGGTTAATACTTAAGTCAGAGATAGCCAGTAAGAAATCAAGCAAACGGCCAACAGCTTCATAATTAATACAGCATCTTGTGTGCTATTTGGGGACTACAACGCGGCAGAGTCCAGGCGACTGGTGGGGATAAACCAAAGCGGCTGACAAGAAAAAGGCTTCTCTCTACATATGCCTATATTTGAGTACACATTTATTGTTAAGTGTGTGGAGGTCAGAGGGCAAGTTTTGAGACTCCATTCTCTCCTTTAACCATGAGACTTCCAGGAATTAAACTTGGGTCATCAGACTTGGCAGCAAGTATTGTTGTCTGCTGAGCCATCTCACTGGGCCATGAAGGCCCTTTACTAAGATTCAGTGAAGCAATCTCCTATAGATCCCACCGGAAGACTTTATTCCAACTTTGTTGAAAGCCATAGGAAAACAACCACTTAAAGCACATGGGCTACAATGCAAAAACCTGACTTCCAACAGAAACCAAGAGGCAAATCACTTAGACATTCCTGTCACTTAGCTTGTCCTAGAGATGGCTTCTTTCCTGAAGTATGAAGCTCCAGTAATGAATATAAAATAGTGGAAGGTAACGACCAGAACCTTGGGACTTCTGACTGTCCCAGCTGGACTCCAGAAAATTAGCTGTAGACACAACATATTAATGGATGAGGGAGAGCTCAGGCTGCACCATACAGATGACATCCGATTAGACAAAACATGCTGTTCTAACACTGGCACAGAAATAAGTCAAGCAGGGTCTCAGTTGTGTTGGACCTTTTGTCCACTTATGATGTCTGGCAGGCCAGGCTAATGAACAAAGCTAAGGTCTAGAGACCAGGTATGGTTTGAGGAAGAACCAGCTCTGAGATTAGAAGGGAAAGTGAGACACAGAATAGTTCTGTTGTCTGACAAAATAGAGATGATTGGAGTGAGGAAATAGGAAAGAGACATCAATAAATGTTCTACCATAGCAAGAACCACCATAGCAAGAACCACATTAGCAAATGTCTGTCAAAGAGAAGGGCTGTCATTCGCTCTTTTGGGTGGCAGACCACTTTGGATTTTCAGAAAGTCATTGTCAATAATGGATATGGATACAAAGAGCTGAGGAAGATGGATATGGGGAAAGAGGTCACAGACTGATCTAAAAAGCTTTAAGCAAGTCAAAGAGAGCACATCAAACTTATGGAAGATATAACTCACAATGAAAAATACTTATGACTCAGGGTGCCAAGTACCATAGTTTTCAAATTCATGAAGTAAAACCTCCAGAAATCAGAAGAAACCCATCAGTAGGGGGTTAGATCAAGAGAAGGTACTGTAGACAACATTCTCAGATCAACATGCAGCAAGGATAAAATTACATTATTGTAAAGAGATGTAGACACTATTTTCAAATCTTTAAGTCAAATATGCCTGTGAAGAAAACAACAATAATAATTAATCATAGATTCTATGTTCTACAATAAAAGCAAACTTCAGTGAAAAATCCACCATCTTAAAGACTTTTTAAATTGGCCAACAGATTAAAATTTATCGAGTGAGTGTGAAATGCAAGAAATTAGGAATAAAATGTAACCCAAAAGAAAAGAGAATAAAGGCAAAAGCAAAAACCATTAAGAAAACACAACATGATAAAAATCAAAGAATGTTTTCAAGAAATGGACTTTTTAAAAAAAGGAAAATAGAATATAGATAAAATTCAGCAACGTGCAGCAGAAACACATAATATAAGAAGTAAGAATGGAGAAATAACCACAGATGAAGGAGATACTTTAATAATTACTCAGTGTAGCACTTTGGAGATAAGCCTGAATTTTTCTAGGAAACTATAGCTTTCTAAAACCAACTTTGGAAGAACTCAAAAATTAAAGAACAGATAACCAAAGAAGTTCCGAAGAACTTATAAGAACTATACCTACCCTTGTTCGCAAATAGCCCAACCAATCAGAGCAGGAGAAGAAGGAGGAGAAAGATTTCAGTTCATCTTGACTCCAATACTGACAGTGATTGGAGACCACCTGTCAGTCACCAGGAGCTGCCAGGGAATGAAGAGGCTTCCTTCAAACCCACTGAAGAAAACCTGGTTCTAGCAATATTCCCAGGAGCATACGTGCAAGTTCAAGTTTGTGAAAGCTGAATTATTCCAAATCTCCACAAACAATGCCCCATAGGCCAAACCCAGTCCACTTCTCTTTGTCATGAATAAAATTCTATTGGAGCATAACTATACCATTTGCATGTTATTGACAGCTTCTGTCCCACTATGCTAGCAGAGACGGGTCACTGGAACCATGATTATGTAGCTCAACCCCATACTACCTACCAGGTTCCTAATCAAATAATAAAAGTGGTTTGGGCTAGAATCAGATTCATCGTATACATAGAAAATATTGCAATCCTAAGAAATAAAATCAGTGGCAAAATATGAAAAACATAAACATACTCCAGTAGGTTATATGTATTAACTATTGGTTACTGCTTGTCAAAATGTCTCAAAACTTGATATTGACTACTGATTTAGATTTCTAACCCATCGCCTCTGCTAACTCAAAGCCTAGTAGTTGTTTTAGAATAAGTGTTTCCCTAATTTGTATATTGACTTGTAACCCTTATATGATTGAAAGTGGGGCAATTAGGTCATCTTGATAGAGACTTCAAGAATGAAGTTAGTGTCCCTCAGGATCTGCCTAGCCTTACCACCATGCCAGAACACAGTTGAAAGTCACAGTGTGTGTGAACCAGCGAGTGTGATCACATTAGGTGTGTACACCAGTGCCTGACTATTGCAATTCCAAACTTTAGACTATGAGAAACAAACATATCTAGGATATTTCCTCATTTATGATATTCTATTATAGAGAGTGAAATACACTATGACACTTAGAACAACAAATGTTTGTTATTCCGCACAGTTCTACTGGGACTCCATAAGCAGACTAGCTCATGGAGTTGTTCAAAGTGCCTTGTGAAGATGTCTCTCAGCTGTTGACTGGGTCACTACCACCTGAAGGCTGACAGGTGTTCAAGGAGTCACACCTAAGGCCACACACTCATATGACTGTAGGCAGGAAGACTCAATTTCACCTTTGCTGCTGGCCTCAGTTCCTGGCCTCTGTCTGGATGATGTTCTTGCAGCATAGCAGCTGGTTTACCCCTGGAAGAGTCACAGGAAATTAAGTGAAAACCTACAGGAAGCCACACCCACTTTGTGACCTAATTTACAAAGAAGTATACTATCACTGCTTCATTAGAAGTGAGATGTTCAGACCAGTCCACCATCAACTGAAGATATGAGCACTACTTCAAGTCTTAAAGAATGTAGCATGCTAGGTCCCTATCACATATCCCCTGAAATATGGTCCATAGTGCATACACAAAACCAAACCAATAGAGATTAACAAGCAAATCTGTTTTAAAAATTATTTTGTTGTTGTTTTTAAGATTCTTTTGGGGAGGAGTGATGAACAAAGGGGGTCAAAACCACGCTGGGAAAACCCACAGAAACAGCTGACCTGAGCAAGTAGGAACTCATGGACCCCAGTCTGACAGCTGGTGAACCAACATAGTACCAAACCAGGCCCCCTGAAGATGGGTGTCAGTTAGGATCCCTGGGCAATCTTTGGGGCCTCTGGCAGTGGAACCAGGATGTATCCCTAGTGAACGAATGGACTTCAGGAGCCCATTTCCCATGGAGGGATGCTCTCTTAGCCTAGCTATACAGGGGAGGGCCTAGCTCCTGCCCCAAATGACTTGACAGATTTTGATGATTCCCTCATGGAAAGCCTTACCCTCCTTGGGGAGTGGATGGAGCATAGCATTGGGGGTTCAGTGGGGGGCATGGGAGGATGAGAAGGAGAAAGATTGATATTTTAAAAAAGATTGTTTCTAATTTAAACAAAATTTATTTTTTTAGAAAATATTCTTTTGTATTTATGCACATATGTGTATGTATGCCCTGTGAGTGTAGGTACCCTCAGGGCCAGAAGAAAGCATCAGATCCCCTGTAGCTGGAGCTACAAGTAGTTGTGAGTGACCTGATTCTGGTCCTGGAAACTGAACTCAAGTCTTCCAGGAGAACAGTACATGTGTTTAACTTCTCAGTAGTCTCTCCAACTCTCAATTCATTCATTTAAGTACAAAAGAAACCTTGCTAATGAGAACATGAATGATGCTAATGAGAACATGAATGATGCTCAGGCTTTACCTATAGGTCAAAGGTAGAACACTCACCTTGGCTCAATACACAATACTGATGGAAAACAACAAGTAAACAACAACAACAAAAGAAGGATGCTTAAACTCACTATTCTTCAAGTGAATCAAACAGAACAGGGTTCTATTTTGCCCCATCTCAGATTGGCAAAATATTAAAATTTCACAACTCTAAGTGCAACTGGAGATTACAAAGCAAGGGACCTCTCAGGTATAGTTCTTGGAACCCTATCTCCCTCGAAACAGTATGGCATGAGCTAGAATGCTACACACTAAATTAAACCACGCTCTTCCATTCTATCCTAGGGAAACTCTCTACTGTTCAAGATCCAAACAAGGACTTCCATGCCTCTTTGTTTCTAATAAACAAAAGACAATAGGGACATCCGATTTTCCACTTCCAGAAAAACACGTGGCTAACTGTGAAACGGCCATTGTAATAAATTAGAACTAATACATTGATATGCACAAAGCCTTACAAATACATTGAAGGATAAAGCAGGCTACAGAGGGAAACACACAGGACAATTCTAGGTCTTGTTTAGGAACATATAGTCATGTCCTTAAAGGCTTTTGAATGTGCAATATCCTCCACAGGCTCATGTGCTGAACACTTAGTCTGAACTGATGTTGATGTTTAGGGAAATTATGGAACCTTAGGCAGCAGGACCTCACTGGAGGAAGTGGCTCATGAGAGGACAGGTCCTATTTTCTATCCTTTCTGATTCCTGTTTGACTAGATGTAGTTCATGCTGCCACCATAAAACCACCTGCCACCATACCTACACTGCCATGCTGGAATGGGGTAGAAGGAATCAGGTGGAAGTTTCAACTTTGTCAGTGATGTTTTATTTAAGCTAACTGATGGGCAAGCATGCATGTTTAAAAATTATTTTTATACTTTCTAAGTGCCATTTCATAATATATCTCATAATAAAACATTCTAAAGAAAATGTAATGAAAAATATATGATTTAAGATTGCAATATGAGCGGAAATACCTAGGAATTTAAAATGATATCTCAATGGAAAAGTGACCAACTTAACTACATTTTTGGCATGGTAAACTAAATATGAATAAAACATAACAATGAATGAAAATTGGGAAAATGTTTTCATAGTCCAAAGACCTGATGCCTTCAACACATGCAGAGGTCTTTGTTTTAAGTCATATGGCCAACAACCCAGAACAATAATGGAAAACTCATGAGCTGGCAACCCACAGAAGTATAAATAGCACATTAAATATATATGAGAAATGTAGACTGGGGAGATAGTTCAATTGGTAAAAGTGTTTGTTGCTCAAGTTTTAGTCCTCAGAACCCACACACGAAAAAGCAAGATTTGAACATGTAGAGCCACCATCTGTACTCCTGGTTCTCCTATGGGGAGATAGGAGGTAAAGATAGAAGATTTTCAGGCAGTTTGAAGGCCAGTTCGGCTAGTGTATACAGCAGAAAACCAAGGAGACTTAATATTAAGGTGGGCAGTGAGGAGTGACACCCAGGCTTGGCCTCTGACCTCTACATGTGTGTTGTGGTCTATGCACATCCTCATTCACACAGGAAAGCATGCGAGTATACACGCACACACACACACACACACACACCATATATATACACAAGAGGAGGAGAGAGGGGAGAAGGAGGAGGAAAGAGGGGTGAGAAGGCAAGTAGAAGCTATAGAACAGTATGCTTGTCCATTAGCTTCTCCAAAACATGAACCCTGGTGAGGGTGAGGAAGCAACAGTTAGTGCTGTCAAGCACAGGAGTACATGTTGTCATGCTATCTGTGGAGGGAATAAGCAGTGATCTATGGAAATGGGGAGTATGTATCCTTTGACCTAAAAATTCCATCCCTAGACCTCTTTCCTGCAGATACATTTGCATGCACATTGAATGATTTATTTGTAGTTATTAAAGTTTGAAATAGATTAAATATCCTTTGATAAGAACCTTACATAATGAAATATGAAGCAGCCATTGTATTGAATACTAAGCAGTGGTTTTTAAATGGAGTCTCCTCTCTGTGCACACTGAGCAGTGGTCCCCAGGATGAATTGTACACACTAGTGTGAGGGGTATTGTGTGCACTGATTTTCACAGAATTAAGAGGAATAGCATACCCACAGCTTGTTTATATGCAGACAGTCCTGGAAGGAGACACTGGAAATGCAGTCAGCACTTAGAAGTTGCTTTGGGTCTTTAGGGCATCTAAAGGCAAGATGGAGGCTTGGCGCCTCTGCCTTCATTTTGTGTCTATGCTATGGCTGAAGGCTCAGATGTAACTTATTGTCCTTACCTGTTCCTTGTGTCTGCTTGAACTGCAGAAGACCATCTGCCCTTCCTCTGCTCCCCAGATCAAGATAATTAGCAGTGAGAGTGACAATGGACCTCCAGCGATTGACAAATTCCTACAGGACAATTAAAGCCTATGGGTTAATTGTGAGTGGGACCACACCTTGACCAAAGCTGCTTAATTCTGAAGATCTGTCATCTCGCCATCTATTAAACTAACTGTTCTTGGACCCTAATGGAATACTTAAGGAGTCTCTGAACCCCCTAATGTGTTCCTTTTCCTGATGTGTCTATATAAAATAAACTCCCTTCTCTCCCTCTCTCCCTCCCTCTCCCTCCCTCCCTCCCTCCCTCCCTCTCTCTCTCTCTCCCTCCCTCTCTCTCTCTCTCTCTCTCTCTCTCTCTCTCCCTCCCTCTCTCTCTCTCTCTCTCTCTCTCTCTCACTCTCATATATATATGCATGTACACATGCATGCACACACAGGGCATCATTGTGTAGCAGCCCTTGTTGGCCAGAAACTCACTGAATAGACCAGGCTGGCTTCAAGCTCACAGAGATCCAACTGTCTCTGCCTCTCAAGTGCTGGGATTGAAACATCATGCCCAGCCCTTAGTGGTCTCTTTAATTGACAAATTGTGGGATGATGGCCTGACCAAATCTAATCTAACCTAACCTGTTGGTGCTGCTACAGGCAAGCGGGGCAAGGCCCACTTGCGATTAACACAGCGCTACAAACTCAGAGTGCTTAGTTGATGCTGTGGAATCCGTTCTAATGAGAGACAATGATAGCGGGGCAGGGCGGGGCGGGGGTAGCTCAGGGATGTCCCTGGAAGGGCTCCAGCAGACCAGGTCCCTTTTGACTCATTACACACTGGACTTTTCACGTTTTGTTCCTTGGCACATTTATAACCATTAGAGAGAAATCAAGCAGCACCGCGAATCTAAGCCAGTCAGCAAAACAGACAGCAGACCCATTCAGACGTCTGGCATTAATGTCTATCCATGATGAGACGCCAAGGACAAATGCCCCTGCTCTGGGAGACATAAGAGGCCCTGCCCTTGGTGGGAGTAAAGGGGGACAAAGTAACCTTTACCAAATAGAGCGAGGGGGATAGAATGCGCCATGTGCGGGCTGCCATGAGAGACATACAGAGTGAGGGAGGGATGCTGGGGGAGGTCCATTAACAAAGGTTTAGTGGCCTGTCCCGACTAGGAACATCTCAGACGGAATCATTCAATCAGAAGCAAACATTGCTTAAGCTATGGGCCTGCTGCGCTTCTGGCACCATGTAGGGCTTGGGGGATGTATCATAGAATAACATAAAGACCTGGTCTTCATACCGCCCACACTCACCAGACGAGGCGGAGCATGGGAGCAGGTGGATACAGAGACAATCCATGGTAAACATTTAACTGAAAAAAAAAAAAAGAAAGCCTGTGATATAGGGTCACAGTCCACTTGCTTGCCGAGTCAAGGAAAGACAGAATAGGGTACAGACAGAGTGCTATTCTAGATAAGGTGGGGGGGGGTCCCTTTCCAGCGAGGTGACATTTGATTAGAGAATTGGGGAAAGCCAAAGACCTAGGTAGCTCCATATACAAACGCCCCGGGGCGGAAACAAGACTAACCACACAGGCGGGTGAAAGAAAAGCCACAGTAACAAAGTGGCTTAAAGCACGGAACGTCACTCTCCATGACTGTGCATCCGGGGAGATTCTGATCACAGAAGATGCTGAGGACCAGAAATGCCAGCAGCACGTCACTGAAGGGCTATGACTGGGTGCTTGCCAGGGGACAGCATCATCGCACCCACCGTGTCAGAGGAAGCAGGCATGTCTTTTGCAGCATCCAGACAGTATCCCATGACGGAGTGGACGGATACTGAGATGCCTTTGAAAATGTTTTGCTCCTTGTTGATTTTCAGAATGAAATGGGAGGTGACGCTGGAGGGAGAGAGCAGCAGGTACTCTTACCTGCTGCTCTCGTAAAAGACCTACACGTTCAGGTTCCAATGCCCCCTTCAAAGCCGCTCGTTACTGCTTGCCAGTCTAACCCCAGGGGTTGTAACGCCGTCTTCTGGCCTCTGAGGGTACCTTCACACCAGTGTGCATACACACAGGCAAGCAGGCATGCACGCAAATCCAAAAATAAAACAATTTTTGAAAATGAAATGGTTGCTGTAAAAGTTTCAGTTTGTAACAGGATATATTTGCAAACTGGTCAAAGTAGGGGGCTGGGCTTCCTAGGAGGATATGACTTTAGTTCAAAATAGAACTGGGCCAGAAAATACTGTGTCGATAAGCTAACATCTGCGATGCACTTGTATGTGCAGGGTAACCATTATACTAACTCAATGTAGGAGACAGTGTTATGCCCACATGTCCACTGAGGACAACGCAGCTCAGAGAAAGTCAGTTTCTGTGCACAAACACAGGCCAGTAAGTGATAGAGCTTCTGTTCCCATCACCCACAAACCCCAAATTTACATCTACTCCAGGCTTTTTCCGTTGCTCCCAGTTGTGTTTGGTATTTGTGTGTGACTTTCCTGTTTCTAGGGTTCAGTGAGATTTCATGTTTCCATGCTGTTCCAGGGTGGCACCTGACTGAAGATGTCCCTGACACCTCCTCATCTCTTACATTAGCAACCAACAAACCAACTAGATCCAAAGTCAGGCATGTAAGGCATGGCTGTGCATGCCTATAAGCATAGCACTCAGAGACGCAGGTGGGAGGATTTCAAGTTCAAGGTCAGCTTGAGTTACACAGAGAGACTGTATTTCAGAAAAGCCAAAGGTGAGCAGAAGAAGAGGAGGAAGGAGGAAAGAAAGGAGGGGAGGAGGGACGGAGGGAGCTGAGGAAGGAAACTGAGTTCAGAATTGGAATTTACACTCTTAGTAGTGGTATGATTCTTGACATTTAACTTAACCCTAAGTTTCACTTTTGTAATTTTCAACTTGAGGTAACCATATATATATTGGCCAGGTTTCTCTAGAGCAATGATTCTATACCTTCCTAATACTACAATCTTTTAGTACATTACCTAATGTTGTGGTGACCTACGAATATATATTATTTTATTGTTACTTCTTAACTGTGATTTTGCTACTATTATGAATTGTAATGTAAATACCTAATATCCAGGATATCTGTAATACAATTCCCAAAGGGACCCTGGCCCAGAGGTTTAGAAATGTTGCTCTAGAGAGACAGAACCCATAGGTTCTTCTAGTAACAAAGTTTGCCTTTTACCTGAGAGGCTGAGAACCTCAATCTGTGGGGTTTGGTGCCTTGGCGGATGGAGAAGTCCCACAGTGGCTATCTCATACTGCAGGGGCCTACAGCTTGGTAGTTACTTAGTCCACAAGAGTAGGTGCCTTGTGAGACTCAGTGTGGTGCTCCAAACCTCAAGCATTCCTGGAGAACTACCAGTCCTCTGTCCATGATGAAAACGGAGGAATGAGCATCCTCAGAAGCAAGAGGGGAGAGGGAAGACCAAACAGCCAATAGTGAGGAATCTTCCTTGTGTGGATCTCCCCAAATCAGTGAGAGAAATCAGGACAATTCCTCAGCTGAAGTTCCCTACTCAGGAATCTACTTCGTGGCAAGTTGATGTTAAAACCAACCATCATGGGGCTGGAGAAATGACTCAGTTGTTAAGAGTATCTGATTCTCTTCCAGAAGTCTTGAGTTCAATTCCCAGCACTCACATGACAGCTCACAAACATCAGTAACTTCAGTCTCAGAGGATTAACTCTAGTCCCAGGGGATTTTGTGCCCTTATGATTTTCTCATGCACCAGACACAATTGTGGTGCGCAGACATACATGCAGACAAAAGACCTATATACATAAATTGATTTTAACAACCATCATGCCATGAGTTGGAGTTACAGAGCACAGCAAACATGGTCATGTCTTGGAAGTCTTTCAGCACTTGTCCTATATAGGGCAGATACTCAATAAGTACTATGAATACATATGTGGCTGCCTTATATCTTAGTCTGGCTAATGATCATATAACTTCTGAATACATCCTTGATTAGTTACCAATGATGATAATGATGTAAAATATTACACATCCACAATAACATTTACAGCTTGACAGAACTTCAGTAGTGATTGATAGTAGGTCACTTATGGCTACTAGGGAGGACCCACTCAGCCCCTGACCTTGCAGCTTCCAGGGAAGCCAGTCCATTTGTTCAACAGTCCATAGGTATGACTCAGGCTCAGAGTAAATAGAACATATGGGTAATCATCACCTGTTTAATAAAACTCATACTGGGATGGAGTTTGCACGCATGGCTGCCAAACTCAGAGTACTGGAAAGAAAATCTTGAGAGTCTCTAGAAAGTCCTAAAATGAGTCCATCTAGAGAGTTATGCTTTCTGAAATACAATGCCTATCTTTTCCTATGACAACTCCATTTACATAAGCATGCTGGTGAAACAAAAGAGCATGGATTTGGTATGGAGTCTGTAATGTGGCTAGGTTCATTTCCTAAGGCTGCCTTGATGAAGTGTCACAAACTAGGCAACTTCAAGTAGGAGAGGTTTGTTACTTGACTATTGCAGCAGCTGCAATCTGAATCAAGATGTCAGCAGGACCACATTTCCTCAGAAGCTCAGGGGTGATCTGACCCTGCCACCTGAAAGCACACATCGCCTTCTTTTGAAAGCAGTGGGGATTCCTAGTAGTGTACTCCTTCTGGTCCCTTTGTCTTTCCTTGGTTGACAGGCACCTCACTCCAACATCTATCTGCCTATGTCATCAAATGACTTTCTCTTCCCTGCGCATCCCTATTTCTCATTGCATTTGGAAGCACATCGACCATATTGGATATTATTTCTGTCCTTCTCCACTATGTCTTCATCTTAGCTAATATGTCTGTAATCACTAAATAATCTAAAAATATCATCAAATAATCACTAAATCTTCCAAATAAGATTACATTATGATATAGCAAAGGTTAGACATTCAGTGTATCCTCTCTCTCTCTCTCTCTCTCTCTCTCTCTCTGTGAATGTGTGTGCGCGCGCGCGCGCGCGTACTTACACGCGTGTGGTATATGTCTGTAAATCTCAATCTATAACAATGGGCTACAGGCCTTCTCTGGGACCTGGGACAGAGGGCTGTGAGCCAGGCAGAGGTTTAAGTTGGAGAAGCCTGTACTTCACATCCTGGTGCCAATGGGAATACAAGAGGACTAGAAATCCTTCCTCCTTCTCCCCTAGAGAGAAGTGTTCTAAGCACCTGGGGATGTAGCTCAGTTAGTAGCATGCCTACCTAGTATGCACGAAGCTTCAGATTCAATCTCTAGCACTACATAAAACAAAAGTTGCTCGGGGCTACCAATTCAGTTATCTCAGAGCTGCGAAATGCGTAGCTTTTAGAGCCAAGGGAAATGACCCTTCTCTGCTTTTATTTTAATCACCAGATCTTGATTCCAGGCCTCATATTGAGTGCACCTCAGCACTGATTATACAACTTCCACTAGGTTAAATCACTGGAATTCTCATTTTTATAAATTTTAGAAATTGGCCAAATATTGGCAATTTCATGTGATTTGACCCATACATTTCATAAGGTGTGGTCACCCAGATTTCTGTCCCAGGATTTCAAGGTTTCCACTGTCGAGTTCCTGGGCTTAGACCCTCCTGATAAGCTCTGGAGACCTGACATACATACCCTTTCATGCCCAGGAACCAGCTCACATGTGTGCACTCAGAAGAGTTTGGAGAGCCTGTATTCAAACTACTTAATCTATTAGTTAGGAGTTTGAACAGTTAGCCTACTTTATATCAAAACCCTCCTTTGTTAATTAGTAACAAAATATAGGATTGTTATTTTTGACACGATTTTTTATTGATTCTTTTGGAATTTCATGTCATGCACCCCAATCCCGTTGGTTTCCCAGTCCCTCCATGGCCACCCTTCACCCTTGTAGCATTCCCCCGCTAAAGAGAAATTTAATAAAATAAATTTTTTGAAAAAAAAAGGCAAAAAGAAAAATCAAGCAAGCAAGCAAATATAAATAACACTTCACTCCTCTATCTTTCCTACCTCTCCATCATTTCTTCATTTATCTTAATGGCACTGAGAGTTGCAGTGTGACAACAGTAGACCCTTGTGTCCAAACAGCTTTCCTTGCAAATGTTCATTGTGTAATACGTTGTTGGTCTGGTTCCAGGCCTCTGGTTTCTGGTATACCATCACCAAAACTCCTCTCTGATATCCTTCTGCTGTCCTGAGTCATGGAGATCCTGTAGTTATGTTTTTGAGAAACGAATCCCTTCACAGGCTCCAGAAGGTCATAGATGGGGTATATGTTGGGGTAGGTCAGCCCAAGGCTCAGGATTTGTGCCTATGTGATAGCTGAGTTACTCAGTCTGGACTTCTGGGAATACTTTCCTTAGGTGAGGGATGGAGCCAG